TGGGGAGGCGGGAGGGTCTTTGCTTTGCTTATTTTGGATGACATGGGGGGGGTAGGGGAGTCTAGATGATGATTACGTCAGTAGTTATTTACTTTTTTACACGAATGGCAACCCTCACATTATCTTTGCTTGAAAACTAAACGCATTTTCGGGGATTCCCGCAAATAATGCATACGTTTAGTGAACAGCGCTTTAGAACCGTTTAGGGGAATTACCGCGCGGTGTTCACTTATCTAAATTTCCTCTATCAGTGTATTGTTTCATTTGGATACTACAGCGAGTAGACGTATTGGAAGCATAGTAAAGCAAGTTAACATTTGTGTTACCATTGATTCCATTACCCAAAGTTTAATGTTTAAATAAGATGTCGTTTCACATAGACAAATCCAAGTTATACCAAAAATTGTTTGAAAGTTTTAAGAAATCTCATACAAGTACGAAAGTACAAAATGTACAAAAGTTAGTTAACGAAGTATGGCGAAATTACAAATTACAAGCAAAATCTGACAAAGAACTAGATATTATTGTATCTAAGAGAATCGAAGAAGAATTGCAAGCGGCGACTAAGAATAAATCCAATCTACAAAATTTTTTTTCTCTGGTGAGCACTAGAAATATTAGAAATCGCCAAAAAGTTTCTCTTTACTGATTAGAAAACATTATGGCCTATCTCAAAGTATAAAGGTAATATTCATTATATTATAGATTTATTTCTTATGATTGATTCCGTCAATTCGTCACAAAGTACAGGATGTTAGTTTTATACATATATACAGAAAACTAACACGCTATATTTTGTGACCGGAACGAATTGCTCGTTTAAACATATTAGATTTAAAGCCATAGGGTTTTGTATTTACCGTATATATTGCCATACTTTGTATTTATGTAGCTTAATAAGAGAATCTTTAGCAGAAGCCATAGAAAGTTTTTATTTTTAGGCAACCTGTAAACATGCAGAAAAAACACAAAATTATACAGTCAGCTTCAAATATTAAAAAAGAGGAAGAAGATAAAATAAAACCCGGTAAAGAATCACAACAGCAATGCGAAATTAATGAAAATATAGATAAACAGAGAGCAAAACCTTCTCAGGAAGCTATGAAAAATAAGATTGCTCTACTATAAAAAAATCTGAATGCTTTGTATTCTGCCAGAGATACTATGCCAAGCCGTGCTGAAGTTGATAAACTGATCATTAAGTTGCGCGAGGAAATAAAAACAGCAAAACAGTGTTTAAACAGGAAGGTTCAAAACGCAGTTGCCCAGAAGAAACACAGGGATGGTATGAAAAGAAAGTAAGAAGATATTTGTCATGAAAATCTAGAAATAAAAAAAAAGACTATCTCTGAGGGATTCAGTGGGACGTCCTAATCTTGAAAGCAATCAACATTCACTATTGAAAACAATGGCGGATATAGCTTTATTTGGGAGTGCAGCAGATGACAGAAGACGAACGGAATCAACTCGCAGCGTAAAAACTCTTGATGAACTCACACAAGAATTACTTAAAATAGGATTTGACATTAGTCGCAGTGGGACATATCTTCGTTTGATTCCCAGAAAATCAAATTCTGCAGAAGGACGAAGACATGTATCGACAGTCCCTGTTAAGCTCATTCGGGCTCAAACTGATCACCACAAGAGTCACTTAGCAGGTTCGCTGAAACATCAATCCATTATTTAGCGAACATAGCACCCATACTTGGACCAGATCAAGTATTTTTCATATCTTAAGATGATAAAGCTCGAGTCCCTATTGGCGTAACTGCGGCAAATAAGCAAGCACCTCTTCTAATGCACATGGAATATAGAATCAAATTGCCTGATCACGATTGGGTAATCGTTGAGCGTCATAAATTAATACCATCTGTTTATGCTGGTATCAAAATCACTTCCAATATGCTAGGACAACCGCAAGCCGTTAGATATTCTGGACCAACATACTTCGCTATTCGAAGTGGAAAGCATAGTTCATCTACTGCTAATACTCATGCTCAGGATTTCGAGACGCTTCTCGAACTTGAAGAGTTTCGACCATTAGCTAAAACTGACCTTGGACTAGTAAAACCAGTGGTAATCATGACGGTTGATGGAGGGCCAGATGAAAATCCAGGTTATCAAAAAGTCATAGGGTTTGCTATACAAGACTTTAAGCGACATGATCTCGATACATTGTTTTTAGCTACCAATGCTCCTGGAAGAAGTGCGTATAACAGAGTAGAGCGCAGAATGGCTAGTCTTAGTCGGGAACTGGCTGGTTTAATATTGCCTCATGACCATTTTGGGTCTCATTTGGATGAACGTGGCGTTACAATTGATGAACATTTAGAAAGATCTAATTTCGAATTTGCAGGAAATGTATTAGCTGGAGTATGGAGTTCGGTGGAAATTGATGGCTATAATGTTAATGCAAAATATGTTGGGGCAGGTGAACGAGATCTTCCTGATTTTCCAAACATTAAATGGTATTCAGAACATGTGCGTGAGAGCCAATACTTGCTTCAAATTGTAAAATGTAGAAATACAGAATGCTGTCGTCCAAGAAGTGGCCTATTTAGATTACTAGACAATAGGATTCTTCCACCACCTGTAAAAGTAAAACAAACAGTTGATGACTTGGTTTTGGATGAAGGAGGGCAATTTCTTAATCTTCTAGTCAATTTAGCTCTACCCTTAAGTGCTTCACTCAAAGATTTCCTGCAAATGCCATACGATTATTTTTGTCCGACTGTAAAATTGAGGCTATCAAGTCGAACATGCAAAACGTGTGTCTTTATGATGCTTCCGTCAAGTCACTAAATCGTCACATCGAAAATATCCATAAAAAAGTAAACACGCACACTGATAGGAAAGTTAGACCTGTAAGAGTCGCTGCTCATCGTGATAATGAACTGATGTGCATTATTCAAAATTTAGAGCACCATGATGTTGAATGGCTCGATGAGAACGACGTAGACATTCCAAAATCCGATGAAAGCGAGCAAACTCACAACACTGAGCAGCAATCGAAGCAATCCAATGTCATCGAAAACTTAGAATCATGGATTCGGGTTTCATGGACTGAAGACTTAGTTTGAATTTAATATATGTACCAAAAATTTAAAATAAGTTAGTTATGTTAGTAAGATATAGTATTTTTGTCCTTTACTCTATGTTGAATACCGTATCAGTAAAATATAATCTCTATCTTAAATCTATTTTCTTATTTTTCGAATTATAATTATAACGTTATAATTATAATATTGAAAAAACAATACATTAATTGAAACATGTTTAGGTAAGCATGGGAGGAGGGGGTAAGAGCTTTGCTTACTTTTGCTGACAAGGGGGATGGGGGGGTAAATAATTGTAATAAATCTGCTTACGTAATACTTGAACGGCCCCGTACGACAAGGGAGAAATTTCTGCATAGCAACGTTGCCAAGTCAGTCAATTTTTTTCTTATCTATACATGTGCGTAGCTAACTTTTGTATCCTGTCATTAATATAATTATCTACATCTTTTCGCCATCTAATCGAACTCTTATATTATTTTACTGTATATTATAAACAAAAGCTAATTTATTTATTTATTTATTTATTTATTTATTTATTCATTTATACATTATTGCCCAACAGAACTATTCCAATTAAAGGACAATATCATGGTAACTTTACTTATAATTCATACATGTAATGTATACCTAAAACTAATTTAAAAAATAGAACTATCATAATAGTACCTGAATTCGACACGATCTTACTGATACAATCAAAATTAATGTCAGAACAGTCTGCTATGGAATTATAATTGTTGCATATAGAATGTAACGGAGAATAAAATAATACATTTGTACGGGAGGTACTGCAGTAGAAAGTTAGAGTTCTTCTCGTATTTAACCGTGGAATATAGAAATTTAACCTCTGGAGAAGTTCTGGTGCATCCACTCTGTCGTGCAAAAGCTTATGAAGGAATGATAGGCCAGCAGTGGAACGTTTTAACTGTAGAGACTCTAGTTCAAAACGACGCAGCAGAACAAATTGAGAGACCCCCCTTTCTGGATAAGTGCCATCGATTTTATAAACACAGAATTTAAGAAATTTCCTCTGCACATTTTCTAAGATGCTTATATAATACGCATAGAAAGGGTTTCATATCAAACAGGCATACTCAAGTTTTGGTCGCACCACTGATATAAAAAGAGCTTTTAGCGCCGCTTCGTTGGAAAAAGATCGGCAGTTGCGCATTATGAAACCCAGAATCCGTGTCGCTTCGGAAGTGACGCGTGCTACATGGACAGAAAAGTCCAATCTACAGGAAAATGTTACACCAAGATCTTTAGTCTCTGTTCTCTCCAAAACCGCATTATTTATGGAGTAATCAAACATAATCGGATTCGTTTTACGACAATATGAACATACTTTACATTTGGAAATATTTAAGAAGAGAATATTATTGTCGCACCACTGTCTGATGGTATGCAGATCGTCCTGAAGGGGAATACAGCTCTCCAAATTTGTAATTTTGGTGTAGATTTTCAGATCATCAGCAAATAGTAGACATTCACACTTTAGTTAAGCGACTAGGTTATTTATGAAGAATAAAAACAGCAAGGGACCTAGGTTTGAACCTTGCGGTACTCCAGAGGGAACAGTATAATTTGGTGACGAATACCCATTATAGTAAACATATTGCGTCCTATTAGAAAGATATGAGCTTAAAAGACCGACTAACGAGTCACTAAGGCCGAAATAATGAAGGCTATCCACAAGAAGATGATGGTTTAATTTATCGAAAGCCTTGCTGAAATCCATGTAAATAACATCGTCTTGTTGTTTCGTGTCTAACGATTCTGCTATATACTGCGTAATTGTCATTAAATTTGACGTAGTGGATCTACCTTTGATGAAACCATGTTGTGATGGAGTAATTAGGCTTTTAACGTTCTCGAAGATAAAAGAGTAAATGGCTATTTCAAAAGCCTTTGCAAAGTTGTTCAAAATGCTTATAGCTCTATAGTTGAGTACATCAGATTTATCACCATCTTTCAGGACCGGACACACATTAGCTATCTTCCAAACATCAGGAAAAATTCCACTCTTTAATATATGGGACCTCGGTTGGCCGCGTGGGTCAGAGTGTCGTGCTACTGATCAGCCGGTCGGCCGGGCCGCGAGTTCGAATCTCGCCTTCGCCATGGATGTTGTGTGTTTGTTTTAGGCAGCAGCGGTGGCCGCACTAGTAGACCCTTCGGTGTCCTGATCAGCCGCCGTGCGCTGTGCGGGTTCGAGTCCCGTCCCAGGAGAAATGTTTCTCTTGGCCATGGATGTTGTGATTGTCCGTAGGTGGTAGATGGTCTCTGACTGTCGAACGCGGAGGTACCACCCGGCGGTTCTCGTAGGCGGAGCCAGAATGTGTGCATGTTGCATGCACACGTGTTCCCTCGCCAGAGTCCGTGTGGCGTCCCCCCTTTCCCATGTATCCCCCATAGCCCCACGGTACCCAATGGGTGCTTAGGCCTTAGGCCTTCGTGGTAGTTGGAGTATAAAAAAAAAAAAATAGCATTGAAAATTATCAGCATCGGCTTGACGAAAACATGAGCACAATCTTTAATAATAAAACTAGGTATTTGATCTCTACCAAACGTAAGTTTATTTTGAAGCTTAGAGAGAGACTTCAGTACATCAGCTTCCGTTAATTCCTCTAGATAAATACATGGTGTTGAAGTGACACTATCTAAAGAAGAGGGAATATTTCGAGGAGTAACATACACACTCTTAAAATAGTCGGCAAATGCATCAATAACACCTTGTGGAGTATTGAATACGTTGCCGTTGAACTGGACTTGGCCTGGTATTCTGCTACAGTCTCTCTTATTCCGAATGTATGACCAGAACTTCTTCGGGTCGCTGATTATACTGTCCTCAACCGACGACAAGTACTCACTGTAAGCAACTCTAACTCGCCCCTTTATGATTCTGCGCAATCTAGAAAATTCATTGTGATGGTAAACATTGCTTGTTCTCTTATATTTTCTGTAGTAATAATCCTTCAAATTTATGTTACTTATAATTTCTCCAGTATACCAAGGAGGATACCTTAATTTGCAGGTGTTGGTATATTTAGGAACATAAATATCAAATATTCAAAAAATTTTAACATAAAATGTATCGCATAGTTCATTAACATCAGTAATTTTACGTAAAAAGGACCAGTCAATATAACTCAAAGCATTATATAAGCCAACATAGGACGCCTTCTTGAAGTTATACATCAATGATGTAGGTTCAGTATTTGGGGACAAGTTAGACCTACTAGACAGCTGTATGGTAAATAGGATACTTAAAGGTGGATGGTGAGGATCTACTTGATTTACAATAGAAATAGCTTCCCGTGAAATAATACATGGTACACTTTCAGTGCTTATGACTAAATCCAGCAATCGCCCCAGCGCATTTAATATCAGGTTAGATTGGATGGTGTTGGTAAGATCTAAAAAATTAGATAGCGTTGTATAACGAAAATCTGCATGGAGACTAAATACGAAACCGGGGGCATTAAAATCGCCAAGTATCAAAACGTTGGGCTGATTGATTATTAATGTACTCATATGTGACAAAAAACTTTCGTAAGTGTCATTAGAAGTGTCTGGTGGAATATAAATAACATAAACAAACAGAGTGAGTGGTAGCTTGCACTTAATCGCAACTATGTCAATGGAAGGATAATCAGTAGAAAAATCTAAAAAAACATGCTCTGCCAGAGAACTAGTTTTACATGCCAACAATACACCACCACCAGACAATTTATTTGTTCTTACAATATCACGGTCACTACGAAACACACTGTAGTTTCCAGGAAAAATTTCAGAGTCACGTACTTTGTCGGACAGCCAAGTTTCTGTTAAACCAATTAGATCATATTCATTCAAGGTTGCCGATGAAAATAAATCATCAATTTTCGAATTCAAGCCCCTAACATTCTGATAATATGCTCGAAATTCAGCGCTGCTGGGTCTATTCAGTTTAAATTAGCAACAATTTTTGGAAGACCATTTACATATTTGATTCTGATGTTCTTCTCACCTGCAGCAATCCACTGATCCAGTTCATGTTTGACTTTTCTATAAAATTCCTGCTGTTTTGGAGTTCTGTCAGTAGAGATACTTATTCTTGTATTCCTGTTACCGGATCTACGAGTAAGTTTAGCAGAGTTTTTAATGCATAACAGGACATCTTGATTGTTCCGCAGAGAAACCTTTACCGGCCTAGGCCTATCCTTTGTGGGATCAAACTTTCCCAGCCTGAATAGTCTGATATTGGTATCAATTTCTGTAGAAAGGGACTGCTATATACTTTTAACCTCTTGAGTATCATGAGCTATCTGTTCCTGCATTGTCTTACTTTGATCTTCAGTAAGTCCAAAAATAATAATATTCTGTTTCTGCTAATATCGTTGATAAGTTGTCGTAGATATTTGCGTGAAAGTGGGGAAACACGGGATTTAAAAATATTCCGTCTGTTTTTGCTCCTTTAGGTCGGAATATGTATCAAATATATGATAGTCTCACAAGTAGTGAGGTTTAGTGACCATTCTCTCCCCTGTATTAATTATTGCTTCCATATTGAGGTTGAAATAAATGTAGTAGTATAAGGAACCATTCCACAAAGTTCTTAATTATTCAATTGTAATGTAAACAGGAAAATATGTTATATTCTCTAAATCTAAATTATTTCAGAATAAGTTCAATGCAACTATGAATAAATAAAATTGCATCTTTTCGCTCATATCACAATAATTATTAATGGAATGTGGTTATATATTTCGTTCATAAAAGCTGTCTCTAGGTACACAATAGTAGTAGAGATTTTATAACTTTATGAACTGTTTTATTATGTGTGCTTGTGCGTACGCTATTATTTTATTGTCTTTTGTAGTTTATAAATTATTTTGAGGTACAAAAGTATCAAAGTCTATCAGTAGAGAATCCATCTCCCATATATGATATACAAGATATTTGTTCCATCCAAATTAAAACAGAATGAGAAAAGGTAATCTGCCACAACAAAACGATTAACAATATTATAACGGACAACCAATATCTAACCTCACATGAATGAATTTTGATGTATATTAAAAGTACGAGTATATTAACCACTTTTCCTCCTCTACGTGATGTATATGACGTTTCGTCTCTCGTCCTCAATCATTATCTTTATTTTTCTTACATTATATTGGATTGATTCTATTCAATATTCTAATGTTTAACTCTGATTCCAAAACTGTATGAAGGGTACAGGTCCAAAAGGGGGCAAGTCGTAATTTTACACAAATAGATCTAGTGGTGCCATCTTGTAGCAATTTTAACGTAGAAGTGGTCAGCGACTTGAACACGTCCTAAAAGCGCTTAGTGCCTGTGAAATTCTAATTCTTATTTACGCATACACCGCCAATAGGGGGCAAGTCCGCATCAGTCAGGTCCTAAAAGGGTAAAGTCCATATAAACAGCTGATAGATGTCGATCTAATACGCGCAGTTTAGAGTTAGATTAGTCGGAGTAGCTAGTGTTTTCAATGTTTTTCAAGTAAATTAAAAGTAAATAACAATGAATACTGAGAACAATAGTAGCGGAAATGAGAGTGAAGTAGTATCTAGACAGAATGAATCAAAAAAGAGGAAAAAGTACGGCAGAATGAGAGATGTCATGAAAAAGATTAGACTGCAGAGCCACGAGGTAGGTGCAAACTGTAACTGTCGTAAACAATGTTTTCAAAATGTACCTGAAGAAGCAAGAAAAACCATTCTCAAGAATTTTAACGCAATGACTTCTATTAATGAGCAGAACTCCTACTTATGTGGATTGATTACGGTACTCCTCATTCGCCGAAGAAGGCCTAGGAAAGATGAAGTCGCAGCAAATTTGAGAAGTAGTGCATATTCTTACAGGGTACGTTTTAGAACTGATAATAGCTTACAGGAAATAAATATTTGTAGACAAGCTTTTATGTCTGTTCATGGAATAAAGAAAAAAAAATTAGAGATACTACAAAAGTCACTAAAAATGACTGGAGTCGCTCCAAAAGATAAAAGAGGAGAAAATAAAAACCATCCTAGGAAATTTGATGCTCACGTTCTTGCAGCAATATACGAACATATAAAGTCATTTAAAGGCAGGAAAAGCCACTACAGTGTGAAGGATAGTAGAAAATTATACTTACCTGAAGACTTAAACATAAAAAAGATGTTCAAAATGTTTTGCGAGTTGAACCCTTCTATGAAAGTATCTTACGAGTCGTACAGAACAGTCTTTAATACAAAATTCAACATAGCCTTTGGATATCCCAGGACCGATACATGTAGTTCTTGCGATGAGTTTCTTATAAAAATAAAATCTCTTCAGTCTGATGTTTTAAAGAGTATGGATATTGCTCAAAAAGAACGCTTTCAAAAGGAAATACGCCATATTACAATACAAAATGATGTACACAAAAGAAAGGCTGAGGTATTTTACAGTAGAAAAAGGGCTGCGAAGAAACGAAGTCGAACCTCTGTACTCACGAAGCTATTTGTCTCGATTTTGGACAAAATCTCAGTGTCCCAAACATAACAACAAACGATGTTTACTATAAGAGCCAGCTGAACGTCTATGCCTTTAATATCCACATTCTATCTACAGCAAAAAGTGTGTTTTACATTTACCCCGAAACACTTGGCAAAAAGGGAAGCGACGATGTATGCTCAATGCTGAATGACTTTTTATGGAATTTTCTCGATTTACAAGTAAGATCGCTTGAAATATTCTGCGACTCGTGTGGAGGGCAAAATAAAAATTACACGATGTTTCGTTTTTTGCATTATATTGTCCACAATACACATAGACTTGATTATGTTAAAGTTACTTTTCCTATTCGTGGGCATTCCTACATGGAACCGGACAAAAATATGGGCTTAATAAACTCCCACCAAAGAGCCGAGATTCCTTCAGATTGGGTAGAAATTTTTAGAAGTGCTCGTGCAAAACCATCACCATTTGACGTTGTGGAAATAGATCAATCCTACTTTCGAGCATGGACAAATTTTTTTAATACCAAAACGGATTATTTGAAGAAATGTCCTTTCCGTTCCCGTCCTATTCGAGAATTAGAAATACATCAAGAACATCATAGACTAATATATTACCGGGAGTCCTATAATGGAGCATGGGAGTCAGCAATAGTGAAGGGAAAAGAGACTAAGCGAAAGGGACCTGTGCTATTGCAAAATGAATTTGTACTTCCTCCGTATTCTTATTCAGGTATAAAAAATACTTATGTCTTGAAATACTATTTTTTTTAAACAACAAAATTATTTTTAGGTTTGATACCCATCACGGCTAAAAAATTTAAACACCTACAAGATTTAAAACGATTCTGTGGTGACGAAGCAAAACAATTTTTCGATAACCTGCCCAAGAACTAGAAGTATATTTTATATTAATAACTATTGTCTACTTTTCGG